ACCATTGATGTTTTTATTCTCTGTTTTAGTCACGAATGACGACAGCATTACCTAGTTTATTTATGAGAGGAAGTCAAAACTCAGTAAATTTGAACTCTATAGGTATCTCTTTAGAACAAAAGATAACCTTGAAGCTTTGATTCCACTTTTTTTTTTTTTTTTTAAAATTACTGTCAGCAGCTTGGAACAAATAAATAAGTGATCAATGGGATTCCAGGTGAACTGAATGTCCATCAAAATCCATATCATATTGCTTGTCCTATGAAGTTCTCCTTTGTTTCTTTTAATTTCCAGTGGGCTAAAATTATTTGGTTTCCTAAACATGAGCCTGAAGATTTCTGCAAAACCGTTCTGAGTCAATAAACGTATTTTCCTCTGTGTGAAATGATTTTAGCGATAAAGTTTAGGGAAATTGGTGTATCTATTTATAATTTCAGTGTCCCATCGTTTGTGGGCCATATCTGTTCAGCAGTGACTCACTCATAGCTGTGCACCTTCCCGCTTCTCCCAGACAATAGATTTATGAAACCCCGCGCCATCAGGTTTCAAGTCGCAGGAGAAGGCATGCTATCCCACAGTGGGTCAGGAGAGAGTTGTCACACAGGGCATCCTCACAGAACAGGCTACTTTGCGACACACCGGCTTTGTTGGTGAGCATGTTCTAAAAGAAAACATTTATTTTAGACTGGTCTGTGTGCCTTAGTGTCTCTTGTGTCGGAAGAGAAGAAACGTTCAGGGAAGGTTGGTCAAGGTTTGACTACCCGCCTCTGTTTGCCAGAGATTGGATGGGAAATTTTGCCTTGGAGCGCCATCTAGAGGAAATTTTTCAGCACACTTAGTGTATTCTCTTGGCGTTGTGATGGAGACTGAACCAGATGGTTGGGGTATAGTCTAAAGATTTCCTTCCTTCCTTCCTTCCTTCCTTCCTTCCTTCCTTCCTTCCTTCCTTCCTCCCTCCCTCCCTCCCTCCCTCCCTCCCTCCCTTCCTTCCTTCTCCCTCCCTTTCTGTTATCTCTCTCTCTCTGTACATATATACTCAGTTTAAATGCAGTTATGCTACTTAGAGCAATAACGCTTTCTCAGGATTCTAACAATCCCCCCAGAGCCAGGCATGGGAAACTTCCTCTTGAGTTCCACCACCAGGTGTATGTGGGGGAGTCGAAGACTAATGCAGCCTATTGCTATTTTGCTCTTGATTGCCTCCCAGAACTTGTAGTATGCAGTCTCTCAACTGCTGTTGAAGCTACTACATACTTCTGATGTAGCACTCGGAGGAATTGAGCCAGAAGTGACGAGGAAGCCTGCGCCCTGAAAACCAGCTCTCATAGCCTCTAAGAGGGCTACATAAGTTGTCAAAACACAAACACCAACCAACAGTCCCATCCAGCTGGTAAAACTCCTAACCCCACAATGACCAGAATGTGGCAAAATATCCCCAAGGGTGTGATAGTGGCGCTGATACCTTGGGGGTAACCAACAGCTGCCTACTTGGATTTCCCTCCTGCTCAAGAAGAGGGAATTCATGTTTGGTGCTGTAAACCTAGCCAACTTCCCATGGCTGGCGAGGTCATAGGCCCCAGAGGAGAACCTAGTGGCTGCTTTCCCAAATGGTTATATTTCCTAGCTGTATTCTAAGCGTGTACTCTTATCCCCACAGGGTCAGCGCTCACCCACTCCCCCATCGAAGAAGCCTCTTTTTGCAGCAGATGAAGATTGTTAGATGAAGATTATTCAAGAATCCACAACTGGTCAAAAGGCTGAAAGCAACAGACCACGGTGTGTCCGACCACAATGGATACGTCTACAACAGAATGGATACAACTCCTCCACCTAAGGCTCAGGGAACGTCTTGGAAGTCAGAGCAGAATGATTGTAAGGGCCAGAGGACCAAGAAGTCTTCTCTGAGACTGTGCCTTCTATATACAGCAGGGAAGCTACACCCATAAAATATCAACAAGACCTGCGTAATGACAACACTTGTTGACGTGCCCCCGTGGATGGGGAAATTTCACAAGGCCCCACACCTAGATGCAGAGCGACAGGCAGTTAGTGGCTTCTGAGAGAGGAAGAATCCGTCTTCTCCAGCAATGAGCTCCCAATTATCCAATCGCAGGAGGTCAGCCCTAAACACATACACATAGTGACAATATCAGGTGGGCCCAGAAAACTGATATACAATCATAATTAGTTGTGTAAATTATAATTGTGCAACTACAGAAGAGGAGGTCATGAGTTGGAGAGGGAGCAGGGGGCAAGGGAAGTGTTAGATGGTGACAAGGAGGTGCGACTTGTGTAAGTAAAGTGTTCATGTGTGAAATTCCCCCAAAATTAAAAGTTAAATAAAAAAAAAATGATGCCAAGTTGGGATGGGGAGGAGGGGAAGCATATTTGATAGGAGTTAGGAAGGAATGAGAAGTGGATATATTCAAAATACATTGTATGCTTGAAAATTCTCAAAAATAATAAAAAACATGGTTTAAAAAGAAGTTCAAGAGCATTGTCAGCTACATGGCTCGTTTAAGGCCAGCCTTGTGCTACATGCCTTGCCTCAAAAAAAAAAAAAATCCAGATTAATAGAAAAGTTTGGCTTTGGCTTTAACTTCTCACCCAGAAGTAAAATGTGTGATCCTGTGAATGGAGGCAGGATGTCCAGTGCAAAGGAACTCGTGAGAGACCTCAGGGGACTCCAGGGCTGAGTGCAGCTTGGGGGCCCACACAGACATAAAGGCTGTTCTTTCCCACAGATCATATGTCAGAAACTAGATTTGAAGTGAACTTGGTCTGCATAGGTCAAACAGTCTTTGCCATCTCCAGAAGTGCTGTCTTCATTCAAAAAATTTGGCTTAACCAGATTTTCCGAGATCAAAGCGGGAGAAGATGCTTGTGTGGAAAAAAAAAAAAAAACCCAGAAGTTAGCATTTCGGCCCCGCGGTAATCCTTCACTAAGTTCGGCGGAACCCCGGAGCGGAAAGCAATGACTCTTCCAGATGCCACGGCACAGGTCTGAGTGCGGGAGACTGGAATAATATCCACTGACATCCTCTCTCCAAAGACCCCTTTCTGTACTTCGCAGCCTCCCGCCCGTCGCCCTGGGAGAACTCCAACAGTGAAGGCTTCTATTTTTGCATCAGCATGGATACAAAAACAAAACCCAGACTTTTCCTAACAGTGACGCTCTCCAAGTTGCTGAGCAAACACAAACACCCTTAAACATGGGGGATGGGAGCATAGCTGGAATGCTCTGCTTTTTTTTTTTTTTTTTAAACACTACTTAAGAAGCATCAAGACTGCTGGTACCACGAACACGTTCAGTGATGAAAGCTCAATATTCAATCCTTTCTACACCTGCGTTGCCCCATGACCTCCCCACCCCCTCCCCCTGCTGCTGCCGCCAGATGCCTGTGTCCCCAGAGGCTTGTCCATAAAAAAAACCACCTTGATATCTACAACACAGTGTCACGAACATCTCTATTTCCTTTATCTGCCTGCTTATTTCGGCAATTCCACAAATCCACAGGTTTTCCAAGGTAACTGGTTAATAAGTCATTGCCCTCAGCGAGCTGGACTCGTGAGCTCCCCACCTGCAAACTATTTCTCATCTGCTAAGCTCTGTTAAAGTTGAGCAAGAAGAAGGTGTTTTGGTTTCCAGGCAGTGTTGGCCGCTGGGCAAGTAAGCCTCCCGAGCCGCAGCATTTCCCCTCCCTACTCTTGGCTCTGATGGTGTAGACAGAAGGCAGGACCAGTCCCGCGGTTGAGAGCTGACGGAGCGCATGGCAGAGGACGGGGGTGCTGGGATGTAGAGGCTGGGAACACGCGTGCTGAAGGAGTAAGGAACTGTCCCTTTCCTCAGGTGGGGTTAATGAGAATGAGAGATTGGGAACTTACGACACTTGGTAGAAACACCGCCTACACTGGTACAGTGGAGGAGGAAGGCATGGCTGGTGTTTTGGGAGAACGAGGAACTCTGTAGAAAAACTGGCATTGGGTCAGTACCTTCAAGGTTGGGGGGGGGCGTTTAAAGGGCAGAGAGCAGGGTGGAGATTCGGATGAAGAGGCAGGATGTTCTGTCATCATTTGCATTTCACACAGCAGTCCCTAATTCGTGTCTAAATTTTAAGATGGGTACAAAGGCATGAGGGATTTGTATTAATGTTGTAAGAATCCGGAACCCACCCCCCCATTTTTGTATAGTAAGCATATTTATATATATTCACACACGTGTACATATCTAAACTTGTCTATGTTCCTATTCAGCAGAGAACCTAACATACTGAAGTCAGGAACACTCTCCTTGGTCATTTAGCAATGCAAGTAGACACCAGAAAACGTTTCTCACTAGCAAATGGGAATAACTAGAGGATTTTGTTTTGATCCTTGCCGTCAACATTTGCTTCCACAGTTAATCCCGAGGCCTTTTCTGGCCAGCTGTACCCGTCTTCTTGACAAGTCACACGGGCTAGAACCCAGGGGACAGATAGTTTCAGTGTAGTGAGCTTCTGAACCCTGCGTGTCCACTCCTCTTTCCCCTTCCTTCTCCCGAGGCCCCACTGGACATTTCCCCAAGCAAGTGTTCTTTCAGAATTCCAGATTCTCACGGTCATGCCCACACACCCTCTCGGCTTGTGGCCGCAACCCAATCTTATCCAGGGGTTTCTCTGCCCTGTGACGTATCTCTATTTCCTCCACAAAGAAATTACATAGAAAGCCCAGGTGTTAGGGGCGGGGAGTAAGGTTGGGCAAAGGAGCCAGATTGCCAACAGAGAACACTGGGAAAAGGCCCCGGTCTCCATTCTAGGGCTGCACCCCTGTCTTAAGGTGTTGATGCTTTCGTGGCTTTAAAGAAGCTGTTGTCAAATGCATGCCGCCATAACCCAGGACGTGTGTGGGCTGCCATGACATCACCACGGGGAAGCTTTTCAGTGGCATTGAAATATACAGGAGAAAGCCAGGAGGCCCGCACGAAGAGAAGGTGGCCTCCCGCCATTCGCAGACGTACTTACGGTGAGCATGGCAAACATCAGCTGGCACACGTTGAAGGCGTGTCTCCAGTTGTGGTAGAGAACCATTCGGTAATTCTTCCTCACTGTCAGAAGCCACCTGCACAGGGTCTGCAATGGGAGGGGGAGGCTGTGTGAGGGACGGCTTTGTGTCCTCAGAGGACTACCATTTAAGGGACACCAAGGCCATCAGGACGTTCCACCAGGGACTGGGCAGGTGGCTGAGTTGTTAAGAGCAACTCTGGTGCTGGTGGCAGATCGGGGTCTGGTTCACAACTTTACCTGGAGTATGAGGGTGTTCTGTGACCTCTTCTGACACCCCCCCCCCGCCCTGGGTCCTAGGCATGCACGCGGTGCCCACACTTACACACAGGCAAAACACATAACACAAGACAAATCTAATAAAGACATTTTAACAAACCAAAACAAAACCCTAAACTTCCACTAACACTCTTCCGGATTCTTGCGGCCCTTCCATGGGGTCCACAGGCAGGAACCACAGCCTACAGCGCATCTTTGAAAAAGCCTTTGTGTCACAGTGGCTGCGACACTTCGCCAGGTGCACCCCTTGGCTCCATCACGGGACCTCTTACCTCGTAGTCGATTTTAAATTTCTGTACCATGCCCAGCTCCATGAACATCCGGAGGGCAGCTGTGATCATGGCGTCCACGTCAAGGGAAAAGTCATCAAAGTGAATGTTGTCGATGGCCAGCTCTGACACCAGAGGGATATTGGCTGCCTATAGAATCAGAGACACAAGCCAAGCCAAGTTCACTAGCTTTACCTAACCCCGTGTCCCACTCTCTCTGGCTTCTCGGCGGTGCCACATAAATCAGGCCTGACCCGCACTTACACCCTGATACGGCTAAACTCTGAGCTATAAATGTCTTTTGTTTCTGAGCAGTCAATGCCCAAGAAAATGGAGTGGGGAAGGAGGGAAGGGAAGCTAATTAGAAGATAAAATATACACACTGGATCTCTCTACCGAATTTAGAATATACAACTGTCTGGTTTACTGGAACTATGGCCGTACAATGTACTCTGATGCATATTGCTGCGTGCAGAAACATCTGGGTGGCCAGCAGCTATGAATTTTATTTGCTTCCGTGCGGAACAGGACGTGGGAACACACCGCTCTTCTTTGCATTCTTGTATTCCGTCCCTTGCAAAAATACTCTCTATTAAACATACTTTCTGTATATTCAGAAGGACGGGAAAGGGCAAACAGCTCATCTCTGGTACAAAACGTGCTGCATTGATGATAAAACAGAGCTGCTCGGAGAGAGGGCAGTTTCAGTTAAAAGATCAATTTTGCTATATTGCTTAAGCAATAGACGGCACACTTCTAACACTGGTCATCCTTATTTAGAGTTTCCGAACACTCCTGTTAGGTGGCTGTCAATCAGTTATCCTGCACAAGCCTAAAGGAGAAGGAAACCAAATCTTTGGAAATCATTTTTATGCCAATTGGCTGGGTTACCATGCCATTTGGGCCGTTCTTGCTGTGTGTGTGGGTTATTTAATGGCTTTCAAGTTACCAGAGACCATTGTGTATTTGTATTCCTAGTCTATTCTCTGGGTATAAATTACCCTGCAAGTAATTTATGCCCTGGAACTACTTTGGCTAAGCAATTAAACCCAGCTCTGGTCACTCCGGGCATTCCAGAAACCACATAATCAATCCTGCCTCTCCAACCCCGTGCTTTTCTGCAAAAGTTTATGTGCCTAAGCTAAAAATACAAACACTGTTTATTCCCTACTGTGGATGAGCGATGACCGAATCTATGTGTTGGGACAGCTAAGCTTCCAGTTTGAAGACTTTAATTCAATCAAAAATTAATTCCCTTGGACTTTACCAAATCATTTTAAAATACCAATAGGTTTGCAGATACTAGATTCCTGGAATTAAACGGCAAGGCTTGTGGACTTCACAGTGGCAGATATCTTCTTGGTGTGTATGTGTCCCCGCCAGAGTGGCCTGCTTGTTTATTTACTTCAAAACTTTTTCATAAAAGTTAGATAAATCTACATTAGTTTTTTTAAAAATAAGTGTACAAAATAACAGATTTTGTTGGGAATGTCAAGTATTTTGCTCAAGGTCCACCCCTTTCCCGTCTCCCTCCCTGTTAGCCCTGCTCCTCTCCATCAATAGCCCCATTTCCACTGTGATGTCACACATGCATATGAATGTATATCCCATATACGAGCGAGACCACACAACATCCGCCTTCCTGAGTCTGGCCTATTTTATTTAGCACACTGGTTCCCAGATCCATTTTATTCATTTATTATTTATTATGTCTGTCTATTTTTGCTTCAAGTGACACAATTTTATTTTTCTTTTGGCATTTTTGTGTGTACCTGTTTGTGTGTGAGTTCACACACACACAAGTGTGTGCATGTGGTAGCCAGAGGTTGACATTGTGTCTTTCACTCTCCTCTCCACCTTCCTCTCTTTTGAGAGAGGGCCTATCACTCGATTAGAACTCATCGGTTGGCTAGGATGTCTGGCCAGTGATCTCCAGGGATCCCCCTGTCCCCTGTTTGTGCCCACTGCAGCACTAAGGTTACAGAGGCACTCAGCTTTATGTGGGGCCAGCCGTCTGAACTCAGGTCCTTATGCTCCCACAGATACCACTTATCCACTGAGCCATATCCCAGCCCAACTTCTTCCTTCCTTCTTCCTTATGGACTGCACAAAACTCCATGCCATCGTCTATCACTGTCTTTAGGAACCACACTTTATTTAGCTGCCATTCTGCTGACAGACACTTAGGCTGATTCCATATTTTGTTAATAGGGTGGCAATAAACGCTGATGCGTTTGGATCTCTGCAGGATTAAACATGTCAGTGCTGAATGCAAATCAGCTCCCCCATGCTTTACAAACACAGACACACAGTCATATTCTTCTGGCAACAAACGTTTTCTTACCCAGAGCAACCACTTTCAACACCTAGATTTATTTTAATCAAGTAAGATAGTTACAATCTTATTACTTCTTACAATTGCTTTGTTTGAAGAATTATCCAAGACCCCCACCGTCGAAGACAATGTTCAGTCTGACTCATGCTACATCTACAACCTCTGCCGCCTCATGTACTAGACCATTTCATACATACATGCCTGCATGCCTACATACGTACATACATACATATATTCATACTTTGTTTTGTTAGGCACTATTCAACGATTATACCATTATGCACACCTGAAAGATATTCATAGTTAACTCATACAATTTACTATGACCACCTGTCAATTCGTTGACCTCATTTTAAATGCTATGGTAGGGTTAGTAGTAGCTCTTCAGTCTCTCAATGGAGCAAAGGCTGGCCTCGAACTCCCTCCTGAGTGCTGGAATTAGTTATGTGCTGCCATGTTGGGATAACAATCCTCTTTACTGTGAACTTTGTTATCACCTATGTGCTTACCATTGGTGCAAACTTCTTGTCAAATAAATTGGTAGAGAACTTATTAATGACAACATTGTCTCCTTTGAAAATGTTAGATGTGTAAATGGAAGTTTCTGTCCTGACCAGTAACACAGCTGTTCAGTCCCAAAGAAACACACAGAGGCTTATTAATTCTAAACTGCTTGGTCTATTAGCCCAGGTTTATTATTAACTAGCTTTTACTTAAATTAACTCATAATTCTTGTCTATGTTTAGCCTTGTGACTTGGTACCTTTCCTCAGTAAGGCATTCTCATCTCGTTTTCTCTGTGTCTGGCTGATGACTTGCTTTCTGCCTTTTACCTTCCCAGAATTCCCTTAGTCTGGTTGCCCCACCTATACTTCCTGCCTGGCTACTGGCCAGTCAATGTTTTATTAAACTAATACGAGTGACAAATCTTTACAGTCTACAAGAACATTATCCCACAGCATAGCTGCTTTGATCAATATGGACATCATGAAGAGATGGCTCCAGGTTTCTGCTCTGACTTCTCTAGATGAGGGACTGCAGCCTGTAAGGTCAAATAAATCCTTTCCTCCCCAATTTGTCTTGGCCAGGGTTTTACCACAGCAAGAGAGAAACAACCAGGACACTACTCTCACTTCTCTGAAGATGGTAATGATAGTCCCATTGGGCATTTCTTCTCTTTCTCTATTTGTTTTTGACCACTCTTCTTTGATCTTTATTCTTATGGTGACAGAAACACATATGCTAATTTACACAAAGACTCAAGCTAACAGAATTATTAGATACATGTATATTATTGTGTAGCAGACCTCTAGAACTTTTCATCCTGTGTAATCATACCAACTGAGCGACTTCTATGATCCCACCTCAGCTTTTAGCAGCCATTTGGTTTCCATGTTTGGTTGCTCTAACTACTGTGTACACAGGGAGCTGTGCAGTATCGGTCTTCATGACACTGGCTTGTTTGACCAGCAAGTTGCTGTTTTCACTTTAAAGATAATAGGCCATGTGTATCGTGCCTGCATGTTCAGTGCGAGTGACCACACTAATCAGGCCGTGATAACCAATAAATACCACACTGCTCCTCCTTCGGGAAGCTCCAGAACAGCTCCGCTCCCCTCCCACTTTGATGGTTTGAGTATAGAGGATGCCAAGTGTTTGAAAATATCTCTGTTTGTTGCAATTTGTTCAGATTTAAGAGCGACCAGAGAACTGCTTCCTAAGAGACAAAGGCAGGGTGCAAAATGACACAGGTCTTTCTGCTCTCAGCAGGAAAGTCTGTTTCTGTGTTGAAATAGGGAGCTGAAACCTCTTACCGATTGTCACCAAAGAAGCCTAAATGGCAATGGCGACATCATTGCTGCTCTCCTAGTGGCCCCTGTCTTCCGGTTATTAATAGTGTGGTTCTCTGTGCCATTATAAATCTTCCCCCTTCAAAGGCACTAAATTCACTTAATTATCTCAAAAATTAAAGAATATAGGCATTTTTTCATTATGAAATGTTAATGGAAAGGAAATAAGAACATTAGGTTGAGAAATGGAGGATGACCTCTGGTTCACTGAGACCCAACCTTATTGACCTTGTCTTTTTTCCCTAATAGGTTGATTGATCCACAGTTAAATCACACCAGTCCATACGTCACCCCGAGCCCTGCAGTAAACCCTTGCTGGCATGTACGGATGCATAAAACATCCCCAGACTTTCAGGAGAGATCTTCTTTGGACCATTTTACCAAATATGGGCAGTTTCCATCCATACAGTCTTGGATGTAAGAGCAGGTTCTGTGCAATGAAGAATAAAAGGCAGAGGACATCCTGAGGAGCTAGGTGTGGCCATCTCACCTGCCAAAGCCCCGGAAAGGCCTTCTATTGCCCAGTTCCTTGTGCTGTAGATAAGTGCCCCCCCATCCCGCCTGAGGAGCACAGGATGGAGCCCCCCATCCCACCTGAGGAGCACAGGATGGAGCCCCCCCATCCCGCCTGAGGAGCACAGGATGGAGCCTCCCCATCCCGCCTGAGGAGCACAGGATGGAGCCCTATCCTCCAAGCCTGTAATTACTCCAGCCATACGACATTAACAAAACAAATCAAAGTCAATTTCTCAAAGTGTCAGTCTTCAGCTTTTAAATATTTATAAGGTGCCATATCCCTAAATCAAAGAGGAGTGTCACAGTCCAAAGTAACGACTGGATTAATAGCCAGGAAATAACATTCGGATAAAGAACCATTTAGTTTACCGCAGCAATAAATGAAAACACAGAATTATGAGTCCCGCAGCTAATTTGAATGGAGCTCAAGAAGTGAGACTGTCTGGCTGG